TCTTCGCACACTCGTTTGTACATGAAGGAGTCACCATTCAGCCTCTTTCTTCGAACCCCAATCATATTCAAGCGATCGATAAAAACGATTTCGAATTCAAGGGTTAAGTAAGTATGACCGTTGCCGTCCGTGGCTTTGCCTCGAAGTGTCCAGCTATAGAAGAAACAAACAGAATATACTGAAATATGAACATGCTACTATCAATAGTGAATGTCTAGCTTTTTGAGTCAATGCCAAGCACGAAATGAGGAATGAAGCGTCATTATACATATTATTTAAAAAGAGCATTCAAAGAGCACTACTGGAAGCTTTACATGGCGCCAACGCAGCCAAAGCGACGATAAATGACCAATGCTCAGTAGGTACCAAAATATTATGGAGCAATAGCATGCCTAATTGGTCAAAAACATTTAGATGTCATACGGCAAAAATATGACGTGATTATGGTTTGACTGTGCGTTTATTAGAATAGTAAGGCAATTAAATACTGCATATTCATAACTCATCTAAAACCAGATTTCACTGCGTACTGCATTGCCATTGATGACCCAGGAGGAGGGGGCAGTTAAGCAGGCAGGCGATTAGACTCCATGGCATTTCAGCACCTGCAATTCCAGATACACCTAGCACATTTTTTTCGCCAAAACCACTTGGTGCTCATGACGAACAATTTTTCGAGAACTGTTACCCAATGTAGGCTACCATATAAGCATTAAAATATGTCCTTGCGCCAGACTATGCCAAAAAGCGCTCAATTCCTCCAGAACATTTTCATACACTGCAGCGTAAGAACACACTTTGATGTTTATGCAATAATTCAACGTACACGACAAAATAGGAGACGTAATTCAGTAGGCATCATAAGTTAAATTTCTAAAGCACGCCATAAATAAATTTTGTGAATATTGAATATCTTGCTAATAGGTAATAAATAAGCGCCGACTATTTGGTTCGTGCGTTGATGATAATACTGAAACCAGTACCACGGTTTATCCACATACGAGGCAAAAAAATTGCTCAATTGAATGACTGATAAATACCACTGTTTCAACCTGTCTCGCGGGCTTGCCTCATTGGAAAGATGTGGCTGAGATTCGAAAGTCCTTTGTGTCGCCCGCAGCAGTTTCTTTGTTTTGAGCCAAAAGGCCTTTGAAAGAACTGCTGACAACGAGAAAGACTTCCGGAGCTCAGCCACATCTTTACAATTACATCTACATGTTTACATCCTATGAGACACGAGCTGAAACACTGGTACCGATCAACCTTTCGAGTGACCAAATTATTCTGCTTTGTGTTTAAATAAACCAAGTCTTGTGCTATTTTCAATGACTGAATGCTTGTATAATTAATATATTAAAGAAATTCAATCGAAGCTACTTAAAATTAAACCATACCCTTTTTGCTTGCAAACGATCCCTTTCGTTTCGAAAACTTTCACTAGCTGGTTTATGACTTCCTCCGGACTACTGTTACAAGTAGTGGATACGTTTCCAAGTGCCTGAAAATCCGTTATTAGCCGTTTTCTTAATAAATGAAAATCAGCATTATCACTTTTAATTTTTGAATGCATCAAGGATTTAACTCAAACGATAGCGCCGAAGAACATAACCAAGATCACATTTAACAGTCACTTTTAGCAACACAAATCTGGGTTACTCAACAGTTTAAGCTCAGGTAGCCTCTGATAACGATAACAGAACAACTCCTTCAGCAGGAATGATGGCTTTGTTCAAATTTAACGCCCATTTGCCGCTATCATTCTTCATGTCATGTCCTTGTTAGGTTTTCGTAGTAGCAGAAACCTACAGTTTCCAACTACCTTGAGAGATGCAAGATTTTCTCATTAGATTACCCAAATATCATTGCTTTAAAATCTACACGATAGTGACAAATGGGTTTTGGGCATTAAATTGTTTCAAGACTCTTTGCGATATTCTGGTCAGTCTGACAATAAAATCTTTCTCATTCATAAACGTCGATGAACCGCGATCGTGCTTTAATCAAAAAGACAACGTTAATCTGGGTACTCTGACCATGAAACTGATATTCCAAATGACAATGACAACATCTTAATCTAAAATGAATTCAAGATATAAAATCCACTGTAAATTCTCTACCTCAAAAAATTAAATGCAATGTTATTCAAGTTATAAAATGAATATGAAGTATTAAAATACCACGCATATAGTTAAATATTAATACCCTAGTTTTGCGAACCGCCATTGGTTGATTTTGCTTTCGCCGTCTGGGAGTAATCAGGTTAATCACCCTGTCAACATGTCGTTCGACGCTGTTGAACATCCGTCGCGTGATCCTGGGCGTCTTATGCCTTGGAGAAGGTGTTTGGTTACGGGGTGTTTTCACTGCTGCTGTTCGTCGTTTGGGACTCGTTGCCGCGATGAGTCTAAGAAGTGCACATTTTGAAAAAAAATATAAAATTAGCAACTTTGAAATGCATTTCACGGGTAAACTCTAAATATACAAATCACGATGGAATAAAGTCGCTCCAAATTACAGTAATAGCAATAGAAAGAATGTGGAAACGGTCGTGAAACCGTGTCTGGATGCAAAAAAATGGTTTGGCAAAAATTCAGAACAATCAGATGCTTCTTGCGTGATCTTCACTTGTCATCCATCATCGACTTCATCAGCACGAACACCTGTTACTGTTAGCCGACGATCCTTTAAAAGCAAAAGTAATTAAGAGTTCGACAGTCGAGAACGAAAATGCTACCTCACAATGGTAACGAGGAATACAAGTGATCACTGCACAAGAAAATTCCGAATCGTCTTATACGACCATATCCTCTTGCCCACCAGCACATGAATGCGATAACTGTGAGTCAAAACATTTTGGCTGAAAAGGGTTGGCAGGTCATCCAGTCAAAATCTGCTACCTTAACTGCAGATTCATTCTTTCGATGTGTTACCAATTGAGCATCACCTCCAGCCCCATTATTTATACAGGATATGTGTGACTCAAAACATAAAAAGAAAATACTTCTCTACCTGATTTACTGCAATGAAAGCTACCATCACTGAACCAACAATCGCACTAAACAAATACCTGAGTTTTTTGCTGAACGGGGTGTCCGCCAACACTGAACCATCACAGTGCAACTCGGATAGTGGACAGAAAACTAAACAAAACAATGCATTTTTAAAACAAATAGACGCGACAAAAACAAAGAACATTTCTGATCTCTTTAACAAACTATTCATAAAATTGCTCACAGATTGTGGCCACGCAATCCTGTCAAACATGACTCACTTCTGCTGCCTGACGTACTGCAGTAGACGCTCTTGTATTTGGGGCGGCTGCAGTCAGAACTCTTAGGCGGGTAGAGCAGAGGGTCATTAGCTTTGGCATCAAGGCCCAGTGGTCGACTGTCAATGTTTCTCTCATTCATGTCAGATCTGATCTTATCGTTCAAAGGAGTTACTGAAGCAGTGCTAATCCAGCCGCGGCTCACAGCTGTTCGATATGACGATTCCTTAACTTCTACATGAAAATCAGAAGCAAAACTTTTTAACTTATACCTTCACCAGGCGATTACGAAACATCGAAACTCGGTTCGATTCAACCCCTCCAAAATTTTCTATACAATCTTCATAGTCAGGACTGTCCATACCAGATTCAAGAGAGGCATGAATCGTTGGTGAACGAACAATCATAGACGCTCTATCGTTGACCTGAGAGCAATTTAAGAAAATGCAATGATGACTTCGTCATGAATATAAAAACTTTCTCACATTGAGCTTTAACTTCGGATTTGGAGGCAAGGCAAAAGGGCGCTTCGTTTGCTTCCGGTTCTGGAGAATCATGTACGTTGCCGTATGGTAGTCGTACTTCCACTGCAACAAAATCAAGGACTTGATGTAGGGGAGTAAAAAAGAAGGACACAAGGAGGAGATTATAACACAATACCTTCTTAAGCTCAGCCACCATTTCTTCAGGCTTCATCGACGCATAAAATGCCAGTTCTTCAGCGCATTCGAAATCGATTGCATTCTTCTAAACTTAGAATTAAACGTTAGTAATCTTGTTTTGTATGTTCATAATGATCAACATCATAGTCATGAAATTAATCACTTGTTAATGTGATTCAATCGTTAGGTATTTATTAACAGTATATAACAAAATAACATATTTAGGCAACTTTCAAATTGACTAAATAAATGTGTTTAAAAAAATATAATCTGCTGATAGTCAAAACCGAGAGTTGTATAATCCTATTTTACAGAATTACTAAATTTGCTCTGAACCAATACCGTTTCAGAGTCGATTAATTACTGGAAACCAATCAGCTTTCACTGGTTCATTTGGGACTAACATGTATCTTCAACAGAGATGTCAGTGACGAACGTGTCATGCGGATGAAAAAAAAATAAATGAAGAGCTGTCGCAACATAAAATTTTTCCGTCGTCCGCACACGCCATGTAACATATTGAACTGAGTACACAGAGAAATCTTGGTTAGCTTGCATCTTTGGTAAATAAACTTAATTAATTTAAGGGTAGAATGGAACTTCATCTCTAAAAAAATGACCATACTATTCTAAATAGAGTTCGAAGAGCCGGTAAATCGGTAAATCAACGATAATTCTTTTAAGAGCAAACCAGACGTGCGGTTCACTAGAACCGTACACAGCACTTCCAGGCAAATGCAACTGATCTTTCCATAAAAACGTTCGTCAGCAGACGTATATCCGACGACACTGGTTATAGACTTTAATACAGCACCACCGCCGCAGTCTGTGGTTCATTAGGCTTCAGTCCAATGTTAAGAAATCTCCTTCATCAGACCTTTCTCCTCCAAGGACTTCATACAACACCTTCAATGAACATGTTTCAATCTCGTTCTTCTATGTAAAATGTTGGGATCAATAACAGCTGTGTGACATCATATCCTCCATCAAGGTAACTAGTACCGAAACGACATGTCATCAACTCTACAGGGCAAAGGCTTCGGTTTTCAACTGCTACTAGCTGCCTGAATTAGATTATTTGCTAATTATTATAGGTATTAATTTCCTAAAGATGCTATAGACAGAGGCAAAAGTAACATCAACCTCATGATCAGCCTCGTCCGTCCACCTGAAGTGCATGCCTTTTAAATTGATGCATCTCGGCATGTTCAAGGAAAAATTTACGTCAATCCATGCAATTGACATTTTTTTATTCTTTCAGACATCAGCTGCATAAACAATGACTCCATAATTAACCATCTTCAGTTTTTCAACACCCGCCCCTGGAAAGTCGAGAAATCACATAAAAAATTTACTTGCTGCCATCCATCGTTATAGCCATTTTTCAGGGAGGGGCATAAAGGTTGCTGGAACCAAGAAAGTCTTTCTGGAGCGTTCCGAGGCATTAGGATACATCTGTCGCATAATGATAATTAGAACCAAATTAGAAATCTCACAACCAGTCAACCATACCGCATAAGACACTATACTTCATAAACAGCCTAAGAACAGAGCGTGAGAGATGGTGACATGTATGCACAGATGGAACTTCCGAATCTCCATTAACGGCGAGAGTGAATCTGATAGTCAAATCATGCAATACGTCATCATCGACAACAACCAAACGTTACTGAACGCAGCAGCTCTCAAAAAGCACCTAATCTACTCTCAACAACTAGTCAGAGTAATACTTGCTCCCTTGTAATACTTGTGAACACGTAAACACCAAGTACACCTATGCA